GCCGCCTGCTGAACCGCCAATTTCCTGGTTCCATGCTTGCCCAGCCTCCCCACTACCTCACCGTTCAAAAACACTCCCCGCTCTCCTTGTGCCCCCCCCCCTCCGCCTTCGACTACTACCCTCACACCATCTGCGCAACATCGCCGCAAAAAGGGAAACTCCAGGTATCTACTATCCTATTTTACCAAATACATTTTACCCATATCGACACATTAAAACCTACACACCCTACGGGACCATCACCAACACACCCTTACCCCAATACACTACACCACCCCACACCCGCTCTCCAACCCCCCCAACACCATCACACTATCTAGCACCAATAGATTCGAAAATTAAAATACTTTTCCCACAACGTTGGCGTCGAAGCCTCCCTCGTATAGTCATTCCGGCTGATAAGCCGTGCAAACTCAATGAATATTTCCCAAGAGGTACAACTCCTCTGGCCATTTTTTCACATAGGACAACCTAACGAATCAACGTACCAATATTTCTGCGTCAGTAACCTGTAGATCATGTCATGTGTGTCACTTTTCCACACCAAAACGCGGGTAGACACTAGAAAGTTCCTTTCTGGTAAAGGTGCCAATTTTCTCGGGTCCCGTCTGGCCAAGAGTTGAAGTAAACATATAGTTGGACCTACTGACTCCTTCCTCCCTCGAGCATCACTCAGGTCATAAATATCATCTTAACTATGATTCTGACTATGCTTCCAGTCTCCCAGCAGCGCGGTACTCCTTAACATTCCCCCATTACTTCCATAGACGCCGACAGAAACCTTCATTTTCTATTTTTTTCATGTGTAGGGATACGCCTCTTCGACAATCTGTCGTATCACAGGGCACAATTCACTTATCAGAATTAATGAACAGGTTCTATCAACTTTGCGTGGTGTTCAATCCTCATTTTTACTACACCAAACATACCACCCAATGTGTAATCGAAGATTGGATTTTGACAACATGCCATCCTAAATCGTCATTTATAAAAGAAACAATCGCTATCTCTTAAACGCAAAGGGCATGGCATAGATTTCTTACCATGTTGCTCTTTTTTGCAATGCTGCCGAGGATTTCGAAGTTGATTCCCTTGGTTTATTCCCCTTTTTGAATTGCTTCTTACAAGGACGACAAACTCGTGACCCTACAATTTAAACATGTGAATGAACTTTGTCGGTCCAAAGATATTAATCCTGGGGTATCAAAACAGCTATCAATTTTTCCCTTTTAGATCTGAGGGAAACAGATTAGAAGAAACCGCCGAATTGGTCGTAAAAGAAACCTAGAAGATGTCTATTGAAACTTACTCAGAACCTATTTCTGACCTTAAAAGTTCCCCCAGCTTAAGTGATGAATTTTTAGTTCTTCAACCTGATAACGCAAAAACTGCGCTAATTTACCTGGCATGGACCGTATCAAAGTAGTGAAGTCTGTAAACATGGTATATTAATATCTTGGATGTCAAAGGTAAGGAAAGAATATATCCAACAGCAATACTTTTCTAAAACGTAGCATCGTAGAGCAAGTAAACTCTTCTTGTTTAACACACTCCTTTGCAAGATGATCACTTAACTTCCTTCACAGCCGTAGTTTACAAGTGCGTGATCTCGTCACGAGTGGTAAAGTTTGTATCATATATGGACGAGCTCTTTTTTACAGAATCTGAAGGCACTAATTTTTTTTTTCTAAAAATATTTTTCTTTAAAACCAATACCAGTCTAAACATAAAAATAAAGAAACAGTATGAGATCTCATCAAATGAACTGACAAAACGGATTGCACATATAGCTCACGCAAGATATGCTATCTGGCGCAGCAACATGCAAGCTAATAACATGGAAGGTCATGAACTGACATATTCCCACAAACGCGTCTCACACCAACCCCACACACACTCACACACACTCTCTCCCAAGCCCACACACAGCACACGAGAGCCAGTGCGAGCGAGTGATCTCTCTACCCAACGACACCCCACACTCTATATCTCTCTATCCGCCAACCACAGCACCACGCCGAACACTCAATACACTAGAACAGAAAATATACAAAAGAAGTTATATCAGATTAAATCCCATCCGTCGATCATTAATCAAAAAAAAAAACAAAACCTAACATCATAATTATACTAGAACATCTACATACGTAATCCCTAACAATACAGCTTTACATATACCTAAATACGATAAACATAAAAAAATACAGCTTAGAACACAAAAACGAAGGTGCAATACAGTTACAATAAACACACACATAAAAATCTCAGACACAAAGACTACGACACAAACTGTCTAGATATGTCTGTATACCATACAGCTAAAACTTAACATCCGCAGAACGTAGCATTGACACCAAACCGATCAGGGGACAGACCCATAATTATAAACTTTAAAAAAAAAAAAAAAGAAT